TATAATAAATGGGTCAAGGGGACGACACAACTTCTCTGGGAAGAGACGAATGGGCAAATAGTTGCGGCAGATGTTACACGTGAGTCTTGCTGATGAAGAACTGGGTAATAGATAGATGGTCTTCCCGAAGAAGAGTAGGGTAAACAATATATTGTAAACGATAAGTAAAGAAGACTCTGCGTGAAGTGTAAATCTCTCTCACGCTGACCTACTATAGACAAGAGTAGAAGCATTTGCCAGCCGGACTTAATCGTAATCAATTGTTTTATTTTCAAATCATTTAATGTGTATTCAGCTACAGAGCTATGACGCATGACTGGTGCTATATATACGTATGGGATGACTCTTTTGACGTTATAGAACCTCATTTTTGATGTAGTCAATTGTTGCCAATATCCTCGCATTGATGACAGTCTTGTTTGTCCTTTCACGACTTTTTTACATGACTAATTATATTAGGGGAAGCTTTTTTAAATTTTCTTGTTTTAATTAACCTCCCCTTCATCTCATCACGAATTAATATTAGGATCAAAATTCTAATTACGGATCCGTGAAAACTTTACATGGTAGTAATTTGGAGACACGAGACACTCGTAACCCAATATATCACAAAGCTAAGCTTTTATCACGTTTTACATTTTCTAATCCACTAAGAGCCTCTTGAGGGGGTTGATATTATGATTGGTATATGATTTTGGAATGTACACTTGCGCTGAAACAGCTAATTTTTTTTTTTTTTTTTTTTTTTGCATCAGATTTTAATTGCGTATGCAGCTATCTAGCTATGACACAATATCAAAGAAAAGTACAGAAAAGATGACTCAATTTACAAGAGGAGCACTCATGCCTCGGATTTCATTTGCAAGTACCACTGCGAAGTTATGGCGGCTTTTTCTTTACCCCAAGTCAACCCTCATCCGTAAATACCCACCCAGGGGAACGTCTCAAAAACCCTGAGTTATCCAGACATGCCTCCGTCATCCATCAACTTTTCTCCGCGCGAAATGTAATCTGAGATGTCTCCTTCCCAAGTGGAGTAGGTGCCCAGGCTACTCAAACCATACCAGAGAACATCACCAGGAGGCGGACCACAACACCTTCCATCGTTTGCTTGTTTTTATAGTGTCAGCTGCACTCTCGCAAGCGAAGTCTTGGCGCGCACAAAGCTCAATTCGTAAAACTCTTGCCAAAATTCAAAATTCCACGCCCGTCGAAAACGTATCCCTCTTCTGCATCATCTTGTGAACTTGTCCTGATCCCTCTCACGTCCATCCCAGAGAGCTGTCTCCCAGATTTGTGCTCCACGCTTTGCTTCCTCCGTCGGGTATAAATATCGGCGTGGGCGTGTATTTGGTGACCGGCTGAGGCCAGAGAAAGTCGACGAGAGGTGTGGTCATTGAAACGAGGATGTACTAGGTCGTACTTGTAGACTTGATGAAGCTTAGTTGAGAATCGGACTCTTTGGGAGTGAAAGATTGACATGGTGGAGTAATTTGAATCTTTGCCTCGTGGGCCAACTTCTTTGATATTGCGAAATTTGACTGAACTTGGCTCTGGGAGAATATTTCACTCCCAGGTTCGTAGAGGACACCGCGTACAGGTGTTCAGTCTTGCCCTCCGCTGAAACAGCTAAGACAGTATGTGGAGAGATGTCTTCATTAATGTGCAGAAGTGAAGTGACTATGATAATTGTTATGTTACAGATTGAGGGAAGCTCGTCCCTTATCCCCTAGCTTGTTTGGTTGTAGACCGATCACGTTATCAGTATGTAGCTCACCAAAGTGTGCAACCAACTGAGCAGCCATGCCATTTGTCCTATATCAACAACCCATCTCTCATACTGCACACAGTACTACATGTAATGCTGTTATGCAGAGACTGGATCTCCTTCATGCGCCATAATGCCATACTGCCAAAATAACTAACTATGCACCAGCTACTAGATCTACCATACTACATAGCTGAGCATAGCAGTTGAAATTTCCATAGAAAAGGAGGCTGTATTTTCGGGCAAATACTGAGTCAAAAGGCTTTCCAAAATGGGCATTAAGCCAAAAACCTATTCGAAATAAGAGAGGATAGGAGAATTGTACCAGTAGCGGCCTGGGTCGGAAACAAGTCAAAGGTGCTAGCTAGTCCTAGACTCAGGTTGTACTATAAAAGCCAAACCAGACTAAAAAATAGCAGTCTGCTACTCAAGCGATAAATACAAAGGTAGCAAATGTAACCCTACCAGGGATTCTACATTTTTAAGGGTTGTTGAAATCTATCCTGAGGAAAATGTGATGCATAGCGAAATGTCGAGAATTTAAGCAGAAAAAATAATAGCACAAACACCCTTTCATTAAACTGCAGGCCCGTTGGCTCTATAGGGTGATATCACTTGTACCGAGGTTGCGTCTACTGGATAGGCTGGTAGAATCGACGTTATTCATAACTATCTAGGAAAGAGTGCAACCGTCGATTACTGCGGTAGCAGTCCCGTTTCCATCGCCAAGCGCGCCATGAGCCGCACTGCGAAGTGCTGACTAATGAGTTCAGGTGAAACATTGGAGTGTCCTGGACATGTCCACATTTGAATAATTTTCTGCAAAGACACAATCAGAGAGTGCATTAGACCTCGTTGCAAAGCTTATCGACGTTGAACTTGTTGTCGATATTGTATATGTATGTCTGTTATCACAGACATTGGAAATAATTCATGAGATTGCTTAATGAGTGGCTAGATTTGATTCCGATATAATATTGTAGAAGACTTGTCCCAACTATCAGAGGGCTACAACGTCTTTATCTATCTATAGGTAAATTCCCCATATTCCAACCACGCTAGCCATACAGGACGTAGCATGTAAAACCTAATTCGTATCATCAGTTTGGGGCTGAGGTTTACCGTGCATATGCTACTCAAGTCGCATGTCTGACTGCTATGCGACACGCTTAGGTATCAATCTAACAACCCACACCAAAACCGAAACTACTCACAACCCTGATGATGACCCCATGAATAATTATAACAGTAGCCTGCAACATAGCACAATTAGGCTAGACATCGTTGACCAGGACCTAATCCGAACAAAAGCTTTATCCGATCGACTCAGTCCTCAATAAAATGGCATCCTCTGGCGTGCCAAGATGCATCGAATTCTAGGGGGGGATGCCGCGGTCCACCACGCAGGCGGACCTAGTGTCAGAGCACGTTGGATAGAAAGATGCAATCTGGGCTTTTGTCCTGGCCACAGAAGTCACTAGCTAGAGTAGCTCTTTGTGAGAACCAGCGATAATATTGAGAGAGGTCCACCAATCTAGAACGAGCTACAATTAGCGCACTTAATGCGTGGTTCTAAGACTTTCAGCTCGAGGTCTATTCAGGAGCTGGAACCTATTCCCAGCTGGTTATATCAGGAAGGAGCTTCTTATGTGCAAAGATCAGTTGTTAAAGCCTCGTAGAACGGTCAAATTTTACACTTTGCCTTGGCTGGGGTCGGATAGAAGATGGCGCGGTAATTAGACAATCTGATTTAGGTAGAGTATATGCCGCTTCGTATCCAGGGCATTGTCAATTGCTTATTTTTTTTTTGGAATTGCGGCTGGGTGCAAGTAGCTCAAGTGTCGCTGTGCAAGTGAAGCTGTTTACAGCAAACGTCGGATAGTGGTAATTGGAGAAGAAAAAGAGCTGCTTTTTGGTTATTACGACAGAATGCTGTCTCCATTGCGTACAAGGCCATTGGTACGTGATCTACTCGTAAATGTAGCTTTCCATGTCACGCGACACACCACGTGAAGAAGCTACCGGCTTCGATTGCGAGCCAAGCGTGCAGTTTATAGGGGAGAAAAAGCTCTATTGATATGAAAATCGCGTTATACGACAGTGATCAGAGGGGCGAGGCCCCATCACTTGTGACTCGCGATCCGGCCCGATAAGCTGAGTAGCACGAAGCGCCGAGAAGCAGGAAAAACGAACAGATGGGATTCTAGAGAAAGCTTGTCACTGCATCGAAATGTATCTCAAATACCGAAATAGGCATGATTGGAGGGAAGTGGCTAAGTCATCCCCTAATCTTAACAACAATAGAGACCTCGTGCCATTCCAGAGATCGCAAGGAGGGATCTAGAACCGATGGTGCAATTCTCTCTTCTCGGGGTCCGAGGTTTTCTACTCCAGTCACTGCGATCAAGATCATGATGTACGCTGTCCGAACAAGTTAGGCCCGCGCATAGTGAGTCCCTCGAACTCCTCCATCCCTGCCTCAAACTCTGACTCGGAGCATTACTTTGGAAATGGAATTCAGAGCAAAAATGGGCAGCACCGGGCCATGGAAAAGATTTATTCCCAAAAACACACCTTTCCAAGACTACAGAAGTATGATGATTGATTTGATCCACACTGACAGGCTTGCAAGCCCTGATGTTATGCATCGAGCAGAAGTCCCTTGCGCTGTGGATATGATTTAGGAGCTGGTTATGGCCAGTGATCGGGTTGAAGAGGAACTTGATCATGATAGAGAGCATTGTCTGGATTGTCTGCAAAGGCCAACATGGAGCTTTGGCTCAAGTTATACGCTCATGGACGAAAGGGACCAGCAAAGATGGAGGTCTTTGCATCTTCGATTCGTGAGCAGGCAGTGTGAGAGCTGCAATTAATGGCAAAGTCGTGCTCTACTTCATCGCCGGAATCGCCCCGCCAGACACCTGTACGTGAATTTTTAGGATGTCTACTTCGTACAAGAGCGCGACTCAAACGGAGCTATAAGCCCGTAGCTACCTAATCATCCCATGTCGCAATTTCGACTCCATTTGGATCGAGCTGGCGTGGTTAGAAATTTGAATTACTCGGCGATTCGATAGAGTTGATAAATAAGATCATCTCCCGCCGAAATAAACAGTGGTTCTCATCAGTGGCTCTTCATACATCCAACTCTGATTCTAACGGCCTTCAATCTCAAACTTCTCGGCAATCCAGCACACCCAAACCCAAGCCAAGGATAAATATCTAGTGCACAATGAAATTCATTACCGCCGCCCTTATAGCTTCACTCATAGGCATGTCAGCTTCATATATGGAAGACTATGATGATGATATTGAGTTTGATTATACCTACAAATTGCCTGTGCTTGACGAAAACTTTAAATTAGACTGTTATGGATCTAAATCATACACCAAAAGTACTATCTTAAGATACGTCCAAAAGGCAATCAGCAAAGATCGAAGTCAAAGAACTCGGTTAGATACGTATTATTTCCTACGGTTTTATGGACAACCCCTTTTGGTATACAAGGCTGCAGATGACCGTTTTCAAGATGGTTTGCAAATCCTGAACCCTTTCCTTTAATATGCGCGGCTCGCTAAGTTTTCTATCTAGGGACCCAATTTGAATTGCATATTATCATGGATAAACAATACACATTTCTAGCTGGAATGATAAAATATGCAGTTACTGACCCAGAAACTGGCTTACGTGGAACCAGAGAGATGGTGTGTAAGTTTTATCCAGGAACTCAATTCCAACAATATGTCCAGCCTCGATGATTCGCTTCGAATCGCGACCCAGATATTTCAGGCATTGTTCTCCCACTATCAATTTTCTACGCGGCACTATACCGGGTCTCAAGGTATTCATTTGGATGGTGAGAGACTCTCGACGACTTGAATCAGGGATTTCCATAACGTGTTGAATGCGATTTGCATGGGACTTTAATTTCGGCACATACTGCCCCGACTTGATCTGGTTATCAGACGCAGAATTGTCGTGGCCTGCAGCATGGGTATCTAGAAATGTTTAGTAATATGGGGTGGGAAGATGCCTGGGGAGAAAGGACCTACTATCTGGTGATCTCTCATGCCAGTCGTCAGTTCTAGTTGAATCCAACCAAGCCAAATTTTTGATTTTTATCCATTCATAGCGCTCATCATCGTCTCTGCTAGAACTTCTACTCTGCTATTCACCATTAATTTTCTTGTAGAGTAAGTATCTTCTATTTAGTTTTGAATTTGATTTTATTTGAACCGATTTGGCGCCCCATGGGCCCAGGCAGGCGGCTATGAACCTATCTAAATATTTACATGAGGGGGAAACCATTACGATAAAAACCCCGTCCCCCTATTAATCTTTATTTTCGTCTAAAGTCCTTCGTTACCTACCGGAAGTGCAATTGGCCTTTAGCCCGACACAGGACTAGCTAAAGTTGTATTCGACCTCGCCATTCTTTCACTGCCCTCGCGTGCTGAAAAGTGATGACTGTGGTCTTGAGTTTGACCCTGATGGCGCAAATAGTTGAGGTGGTGGATTAACTAGGGGCTGTTTGCGCGGGCGTCCTGGCCCTCTCTTGAATACCTCTAGCTTTTGGTTGGACACCAGTGTGAACCCTTGGGCGTCCATTTGTTTAGTCGCTGTTGTTGGTCGTGTTGCCGCTGGTAAACTAGTCTCCCTTCTTAAATCTACCGTTCTTTCTATGAGTCCATACCTGGCTCTTTGAATGCTGGCCTTATATGACGTGAAGTTCGGACACGCCCCCTTCTGCCACGATTTATGGGCTTTACCGCAGTTGCAGCAAAGTACCGACTTCCTCGGGCAGTCTTTAGTCTGATGAGTGCCCGCGCACTCACCACATCTTTTCGCATTGGTGCACGAGACTTGAGTACGTCCCCATTCGCTGTAGTTGAAGCACTGCTTGACTTGCGCACGAGGTGACTAGAGCGGGGCGGTGTATGAGATAAATCTAGCACAATGCCGTTTCTTGTCACCTCGCGTTGAAGTGCCTCTGTTGGAAGGCCCACGATCAGCGATCCTCGAGTATAATCGTTTCTTGCCATCCATTGGTGCTCTTTACCGTCGTAAAGCCACCTCACCCTATTGATTTTTAAATCTGGAATCCGTACTTTTGTCTCCTCCGTTATTTGATTTATCAATGCGCCGTTGTCGGCATTCTTTCCTCCTCGTAATAGTGTCCTCAATGGGACTCCTAGAGTCTCAACAGGATAATCCTGCTTTATAACGCTGATCTCCTTTGGTTGCGTCATTCTCAAGGAAGCGTCTCGTTGGGAGACCGACTGTACGAACAACTCAGTATCGTTGCTCCGTAAATTTCTTACAGCACATGGCCCCTCGATTTGTTGCTTAGCCTTGCTAAGCAGCTCTGCCGGCCGCATATTTTCTGCCCCTTCGACTCGTATCTTTGCCGCTGATTTGGTTGCCGGCGGTGCGACGACTGAGGCATAGGTTGGTCGTCCTCCCATTGTTTGTGCCGACTGAGGAGCCGCCTTGCGCGCCGGCTTCTCGAGACTCTTCGTAGTTGCCTTCTCTAAGGTAAGCATCCTGTCCTCCATTGGCTGTGCCGACATCTTAGATTGTAACATCTGAATGTGGGCTTTGAAAGCGTCAAGAGCCTCATATATTTCCACCATTGGTGCCGCAGATGTGTAAGTACCTTAATTCACCAGTCTGCCTCGGACCTTACTTAAGTATGTCCCCACTGTCTGTAGAAAATCTATATTAACACCTGTTGAGGTCGCGATAGACTATACAGCCGTAATTGCGGCTGTTCCGCTGCCAATTGTTGGTTTTGGTGGTGGATTGAAAAAATTTTCAGCCGCGAAATCCACCCTACTGCCTCCCCAACTCGCCATGGCGAAGCGCAACGAAAACATTCGAGGAACAGGTATGAGAGATTGATAAAGATGAATGCAAAAATAAAAACGATGAATTAATGTTCGTTGAAGTTGGTGCCGCTTTTCGTGAAGAATAATGGTTCTTTTCTTCTGTTTAGTTTAGATGGTAAGGAATACATCATATAAATTGAGGTATGGAGCTTGCTATGGATAATTCCTTAAGCTTAGTCCTTTTTCCAAAATACCAATTCAAGACTACCTCTGGTCTACACTTCGATTCCCTTCAGTGTCTACAGAGACCCTTAAAGCCCGCCCGAACCTTCCAAATCACTATTCACCTCGACCTTAATCTCATGTCACTATACTCACACTGGTACAACTAGGATGAGGGCGTCTTCTCACGCGCACACTTGTCTCACGATTCGAGGGACAAGTGCTGGGTCGCATCAGATTCAAATTGCGCTAATTGAGTCAACAACAGTCTAGCCTACTAAGTTCCTCTCTGGCCCAGGCCGCGCCTTTTACAGTACTCCTTGCCTCTTCTATTACTTGAAAAATTATTGCTTTGTTACCCGTGATAGATAGCCGTTCAGCTTAGTGTCTACCCATGGAATTCGGCCACCTTTTCCACGGAAACTTCTACCCAAAAAAAGCTGCGATAGTGATAGAAACTGCATACGCGGGAAAAAGTCTCAAAAAACCTACAGCCCCAGCCAGGCAAGGCCTAGACACCGGGAGCACATGAGGTGAGCATATCTATTTTTATCTCCCTCATTTGTAACTTTCGAGGCCGACTTGATCCAATCCAACATCGCCATTTTGGGTGCTGGGTACGCTCCGGAAACTCATCGGATGGGTTTTTCTCCATGGTCAAGGGTTGGTGGTAAGAAGGGCTCCGACTCTACTATCTAATCTGATCGTGGTCAGCTTCATGATGGTGGTGTTAAGAGGATATACTTGGAGTTGAAGATGATACAGACCGCCAAAGCGATTGGGAATCCTCGTCGAAGTGAGGACTTTGTTACTCAATCTCGGCTCTGCAGACTCTACATTGAGAGCCTGAGGTTTGTAGGGGACACCATTGACCGGTGTTCAGAGAAGTCTCCCTGATTTATCTAGACATGCCTCTATCGTCCACTGAATTTTCTCCCTGAGAAATATGAACTGAGGCGTCTCCATCCCAAGTTGAGTGGGTGCCCAGGCTACTCAAACTATATCAGAGAACACCTCCAGGAGGCGGACCACGTCACCTTCTATTGTTGGCTTTTGTTTATAGTGTTAACTGCACTCTCGCAAGCGAAGTCTTTGCGCACACAAAGCTCAATTCACAAGACTTCTTGCCAAATTTCACGTCCGTTGAGGTTATATCCTTACTTTGTATCATTTTGTGAACTTTTCCCGGTCCCTCTCACACCTATCCCAAAGAACCGTCTCCCAGATTTGTGCGCCACGCTTTGCTCACTCCGTCGGGTGTGAATATCGGCGTGGGCGTGTATTTGGCGACAATCTGAGGCTAGAGAAAGTCGACGAGAAGTGTGGTCATTGAAGTGAGGTTGTACTCGGTTGTACATGTAGACTTGGCGAGACTTGGTGAGACTTATATAGGAGTCAAACTCGTTGGGTGCGAAAAAACAACGTGGTGGAGCAATTTGAATCATTGCCTCGTGGGCCAACTTTCTCGGTATTGCGAAATTTGACAGAACTTGGCTCTAGGAGAATATTTCACTCCCAGGTTTGTAGAGGACACCACATACAGATTTTCAGTCCTGCCATCCAGTTATGTTGATATTACTGCTAAAAAAGGTGGGATATTTGCGCCACAAGTACAAGTAAAGGCGACACAAAGCCTAAGCCACAGCAAAAACAATTCAGGCACCATATGGGCATAGAAATTCCCCCATAGAGTTTACAAAGGTGGCACGAGCTCGAGCAGCAGCCAAAAGGGCCGAGGAGGCGATCATCGCCGCGGCGAAGGATGTCTCTATGGCCGAGACAACAGGTTTCGGAGCTCTAGAAGCTGAAGAAGAAGTTTGAGGACGCAGCAAACTCGACGATGTCCCTTATGGGGCATCCACTAATCAATAACAGGATAACGGCTGGATCAAAGCTGCCTGCTAACCCATCTTTTGCTCTCAGCAGAGAATAGGTAAATTTGTCATCTGGAAGGTGTGACAGACGACAGAATGTGTGAGGAGCACATTGGCTGGGTCCATCATGGAGGAATCTTCTAGAGTTCGGAGTTGTTTTGATTTTCGTGATTTTTCGTATCTGTTTGTGACAGCTGTTAAGCCGAAAGACTCCTGTAGCCTACGCTGGCTAGCATAGGCTATGGCACAAGGGGAAGGTCTCGGAAGCCATAGAACTTCAAACATTCTCAGTGAACCTTCTGGAAACACACTGAAGGTTCATGAGGATAACAGGTGTACCGAGAACCTTCTAGGTAGTTGTAGAAGCGTCTCAATTATTCAGGTCACAGGTGTCATGGCTAGTGAGCCGGTAATTATTCAGTGTCACATGACAGTAATCAAGTGCTGTACATATCTCCGAAACTCAATACTCTTTCATAGACCAAGCGGCAAATAAATAACTCACCATTTCCACCCAGAAGACTTTTTATCTATTCCAATTTGTAGATTGAACTGTAATGACCCTTCCGCTCTGGCTCCGATCAGAAATAAACACAAAAACATCAAACCCCCCCTACCACCTTTCACAAGTCGCGTCCAAAACCGACAACTGTAGCCAAACCGACATCAGAATCAAGCCGCGTCTCGCGCTCAGCGCGCGTGAGAGCAGCCCTCCCGATCATGGAGGGTCTTAACCAATCTCAGGCGGTAGTATTGTAATAATGAGGTTATGAGAAGTCTAAGAATTGTCACAATGGGTGTAACAGTCAACTTGGGTTGATGTAGGATAGCACT